TCGACTAAAATATGATGGTGAATATAACGAGGTTGTTTTACTCTGGGTGTCACGTCACTCTGGAAAACGTGGTTATGAGACATCTGATCATTTGGCCGGAGTTGCCTCAGATCAGGCAATCCTCGGTCCGCACCTCCCACCTTCGGCAATCGAAGCCACCATCAGAAAATGGGTGAATACTTCGCTCAGAAATGACTGAGAGGCATCGAGGGGATGCTGGTGGGCAAAACTCATGTTGCAGACAACTTGCTAGACTGCTGACTGGTCATTTCACGTGGCATAAATACCTGACTGTGATACGCGTAAATTACAAGTCCATTTGCCCATCTTGCCTTAAAGAAGATGAAACGGTGGAACACTTTTTGATTACTTCAAACAAATTTTTTAAAAAAGTTATGTTACTGTAAGTAATAAAATGTCATACATGCACTCGGTTTTCATCGCCAGTGCATGTTTTGAATTAAGATATAAAGTAATAGGTGGAGTAATCCCAATTATACGATATTTACCGAATGAATTGCAAATGAAAATCGGATGTTTCTTCCTTGTATTGATTATAATTTTTAAAATTCTTTCATAACAAAATATTTTTGACTCTGTGAAAGAAAGTTTGTTATGAAAATAAACAGATTTTTTCTTTGCAATATGTTTTTTTCTTGTACAATGTTAAAATAAAAGTTTTCCTTCTTATTTTTGAAAAAAGTCTCGTTAATAAGACCAAAGTATTTGTGCACAAATATGTTACTGTTACACAAATGTAGGGGCCTACCTACGCCGCCTCCTAACGGCATATGGATTTTATCAGAAGCTTTTTCATGGCAGAGATGCACTCGTAGGTTTGCCATTGCTTTCCGAGAGGTGACCGCTGTTAGAAAAAACGTTTCCTAATTAACTTCTACAAATATTTACTATAAATTTGTAAAGGTTTCTTCTCCTCTAGTTGCTAAATATTTCCAAAAAATTACATAAAAACAACAAAAAGTTTTGTGAAACAAAAACTTTTGTGCTAATTTTCTTCAATACCTTTAGGATGTTTATAGAAAAACTATCTGCAAATAGAAATGCGTTTTTTAAATCGAATATCATTTGTCGGGCCCTCCCGATTCGAATTTCTGTAGATTTTTTGGTTATGGCTAAGTCTACAACATAAACATTAAAAATGTGCACTCCCTAATTACCTTTATTGAAAAAGTTTGAGTATGCAGTTTTGTGGTCCATTGAATTTTTTCGAAGAAAAATGTAATAATTTTCTCAAGTAGGGCTAAGAATTTATGAAGTTTCTGTTGAATGCTCATATATAGAAAATCCTTATCGCAGATTTTTTTTTTCAAAAGTATTTACGGTTTGCGAGCTATCTGATAGCTTTTGGATAAACCGCCATGAAAAATTTATTATTATTATTATTTATTAGTTAATTTACAATTAAAATTATAAATTAATACATTTATAGCACTAGCTACCAAGGCTATCGGCTAGGCTGAAAAATTTATGTTTTAAAAATTACTTAAAATAAATGTTTGTAATTTCATTTACGGTTTGCGAGCTATCTGCTAGCTTTTGGATAATCCGTCATGAAAAATTTATGTTTTAAAAATTACTTAAAACAAATGTTTGTAAGTTCAGTGTTGTCCGACCAAGCAGAGTTTCTCTTCGGGTTGGCCTTTGGGTGTTTTCACAAAACTATCACGAATTTCGTGCTGAAACTTGGCGGGGATATTAGGAGTCGTATATATTTATATTATTTATCAGTCTTTTCCCTATATATTCGATTTATTTTTTGACAATTTCTTTCTCCATCGATTATTTTTATTTCGTTTCGAATCGATACAAAAATCGTTTTTTTTGTTCGATCTGGAAGGTAACTTTCAAAAAAGGCGATCCTAAAGCGAAACCTGTTCATAAACATTTTCATATTCCTATAGGGTATCTAAATATGCTGCACATAACACATACAACTAAAGCATTTGTTCCTATAAAATTATGTATGTATTTAGTATATATGTATATGTATATCCATATATATATATACATATATACGACGCTCGTATCTCTGAGTATTGCTTGTTTGCATTTTTAGTAGCTGGTTGAGTTGGTCGATTTAGTTGGAGTTTTCAGTTTCGTTTTGTCAGTTGTTGGCGGTGAAAGAGTGCGCGCGCATATTTCGCCACGGAACTACAACTGCGAGAGATTCAAGTGAACGAGTGGTTTGCGCGAAAAGCTAAAATTTTCAAACTCGGGCTTTGTTTACTTTTCTATTTAAGTGATTGATATATTATATGCCATTATAAATGGCTATTATGAGAATTGCAGTTAAGAAAAGTGATTAGAAATGAAAAATGATTTTTAGGAAAAGAAAAATTCAGTAAAAAGAATAGACATCGGAAAAGTGATAGATGGAAAAGTTGTGGAAAAATGTGAGAATCAATGTTAAAAGCAATAAATATTATAAAAAATATTAATGCAAATTATAAGTTAAATTTAAATTGATTATGTTTACATTTGAATTGTTGAAACAAGAAAAAAAAAATAATAATAAAGTGATACGTGAATTATGTATACATATATGTAAATTTGTTGAACAAACTGTTTTAAAGAGCGCAAACATCAGTGAACAATAAAGTAAGTCTTTATTAATTGTGATTAATTGTGAAAACTGAAAATTTAGAGTATATATACATATATGTGTATGTGTCCATATGTATGTACATATATATTATAAAATTTGGTTTTTGAGTTGGTTATAGTACTTATAATAATGTATTAAGTTAAGTATGATCAAAACTAAATGTCGCTTTGGTAAATTTGTTCTCAAGAACGCTTAAAACCCCCAAACCGAAATGATAACAAACCCCTCGGGACTGTTTTCACAAGAACTAAAGCGAGAAAAAAATTACCAAGAATGTTTTCAAAGGGGATTATATAAGAACAAAGCCCCGGGGAACGTTCCCAAAGCGAACAAGATGCTTGCAATACTTTTGGGGAACATTTTTAAGATCACAAAATGGGAACAAAAGTCTCCGTAACATTCTGACAGAGAACGAAATGGGGACAAATCTTCTCTGAACTATGAAGAATGGAAGCGAGAGTACAATTTTTCTCATAGCGATCCACTGTTTTCAAATG